ATCTTGTTATTATCAATTATGACTAGTGTTAAATTGAGATAAAATTTCGTTTTGACTTCTGGTTTTTACTGTTGGGTTTGTAAGATTGCCCAGTAGCAGTAAATTGAACGAATATCGAATCATTAATAAGTCGCAAACGGATTACTCAAATTAAATTCTATAAACGTTAAAATTATTTTTTTCAGTATGTTTATAGATTTTCGTTATCGAAAATAGGTATTGCCATTTGAAAATCGAAAGTTGATAGTGTTTTATCAAATAAGGGAGGAAGTTAAAATTATCAAAATTGTAACACAGTGTAAAAAAGTAAAACCTAGAAAGTTAAAAAAAAAAACTATTTTAAAATTCCTAATACTTCCCGAGATATTAACTGGTTCACGATAAAAAAATCACTATGGGCTGTATATATATAAATTTACTTATAAATAATATTTACAGTTTTGTCTGTAAATAATACCATTGATTATAATCAATGATAATACTTTGTGCATATTACATGAAAAAAGTGTTGTCAACTTAACGCAGTTAAACAATTAATTTTAATCATGAAATCGGATATCGGTCATCGCAACGACAAGTAAGTCTCTAAAAATCGATACCCATCGAACGCGTTTAACGATTTTTTTTTTTTTTTTAATACTTGATCTTTCTCTAATAACGAATAAAACAACAACCGATGACATAACCACATGACAGCATGTACGGTTATAATTCATAATAATATTATTATTACGTCGTGGTGATACTACGACGGTGTGTAATGTTTGCCGCAGATCGGTGTCGAGAACGTCGCCGTCGGTGGCCAACCTGTTGCGGCGCCTGTACCCGAGCTCCGGCGATGGTGGCGGCGGCGGCATCAGACTGCGCCAACCGGAGCACACGCCGATCTCGGTGGCGGCCAAGCGCCGGCCCGAGATGGACGCCAACGGATTCCACGGCGATTCGTTCACCGGCGGTTTCGACCGGTTCGACACGATGAAGCGCAGGCCCGAGATGGACGAGACCGGTTTCGAGGGTGACTCGTTCACTGGTTTTGGCGGGTTCGAGACCATGAAACGGGAGGACAGAGGCGGCGGCGGGGACTACAAGAATGCACCGCACTCGGCGACCCGGCCCAAGTCGACCACCCACGCCGGACGGTTGTTCGGCGTGCGACAGGAGTAACGGCGGCAGCGGCAGCGAGCAGCACACCACCACCACCATTCCACCGCCGTCTCACTATATATCACCCGTGTCACCCGCGTCGGGAGTGATCTCTCTCTCTCTCCCGTCGTCGTTGCAGTCGCCATCGCCCCCGCCGTCGTCGACGTTTTTTAATATTATAATATGATATAATAATAATAAAACAAAACAAAAAAAAAAAAATTACGAAAATATAATATATACGTATTTATAGCCCAGTAGAAAATTGGATTCATAATATATTATTATTATTATTATTATATAATATTATAAACATAAATTTTGTAGATAGACACTATTATATTGCCGTAGGCGGAAATCGTGAAATAGGCACTTACAAATATCGCGAGAGAGCGACTAACCTTTTAAAATATTTAAATAAACTTTTCTGGAAACAAAATAACGTCACGATTTCGTAGAAAAAAATTGTTTTTTTGTTTTTTTAATACCTGTATACCTATACATGCACTTATTTTTAGTCTCTCGTACATCGTCATGATACATCAGTTGAAGTATTAATGACTTTTAGTTGATAAGTTCCCTGCATTTCTACGGACAATACGTGTATGCAATAAAATATTTAAAAAAAATTTCAATCATCAAGGGCTTGCTAGATTTTAGGGAAATTTATATCCACCCTCCAACGATTTCCGCCATTGCTTATTACTTTCATAACCGTTATTCATAATAATAATAATAATTATTATTATTAATACGATTGATTGAACGAAATTATGGACGATCGGTGTGATATACGTGCGATATTATATAACTATATGATAATAGTACACACATAGTCACATAGATGTGTATAATGTGTCGATTACTACATTATTATAAACTAATTTCTGTTCTAAATTATTATCTTAAATAAATGAGATATGTAAACATATTTTGTTAGTTTCTATGAAAACACAACGACAAAAAAAAAAACAGTTGTCGACATCTTGATATTATGTACTGCCATTATATCAGAATTGCGAAGAAACCCCACTAAGTTGATAACAAACAACTAAAAAATATTTTTCACCACTATTGTACTTGTTATTTGCTTTTTTTTTAACAAAGCCTTCATAAGCATATCATTCCAGCATACAATATATTGAAAAATGCCATTCCCTGTTAATCACACCTAAACAATATTAAAGCCGTTTGTAATCAATAAGCATATACAACAAAATACACCATACAAATATATTATACATTTTAAATAAACGCTAGTTGAAAAGTTATTCACATAATGTGGATATTAATATTCGCTAAATCTCATTATTTTTTCACGAGTCGATTCAAAATATCATCACATCAATTTTCTTTTTTTTAAACATTACATATTTCTTTAATTTAAGTACTTAATTTATATAATTAATTAATTTATACTGGTTTATTAAGTTTCAACTTAACAGTTTATAGTTTCCCAAGTTTAAATCAAAATTATAGATAATTTTAAATTTTAATAAAAATAAAATATCATTAACGCTCAGTTATTCCACATTACTTTTAATAATAATACTTTCTAAAATATGAGTACTATATGAGAACTACTATAAAATGCATTACGAGTAATATACATGATATTTTTACTAGGAATTCCTCATTTTTCCTTATATTGAGTATTATACTGATATATCAATAATTATTAATGAATTATATTATAATACCATTGTTCACAATTTACAATTTTTTCCAAGTATCAATAAATTTATAATTTCTTTATTTACGAAAATAAATTTAAATTACAAAAACACGTATGTTTCAAAAATAAATTGAATAAGCTATTAATATTATATAACTTATGTTATGTAAGTTTGAGTTGGCTTTGTTTTTTATTCTTCAACTGTAAATGTTTTCAAAGAGGAAGTTGTTTTGATGTAGTTTCGACAAGGAAAATATGTACATCTACATCTACAATACGCGAATTTTCCATATTTATACAACTATACAAGTAAGTAAATATATATACAATAATAATAACATGATTCTACGTGTATACCAATAGTCTACTGACTACTTGTAGTTGCTAAAAGCATTTTTCACATCAAAGTAAACCGTTTTATAAACACAACGCGTACGCTTATGGTATACTCAGGTATAGGTAAGTGCAACGTAAGGGCATAATATTTACGTCGACAACCGAAGAGTCATTATACGCAGACACGGAAAGTTTTGCACGATTTTGTACACAAGTAAACGGAAATGAAATCGTCCGACGTGAAATGTAGACGGTCATCACTCAATGATTGAATACACTATATATATATACACCAACCCTATATAATACCCATAAGTAAATAGTTTTTTCGAGCTAAAATTAAGTATAACGATCCGTGTCTAGTACACATGGATTTGAGCTACACGGTGCTACAAAAACACCACGAAAACGAATAAGATATACGTGCTGTACAAAAAGCATAAAATATTATTTATCATTCCATTCTCCTTTATGTAGTTCATATGTAATTTGTCATGTAATCTACTTATATTCGAAAATCTGTTCGGTCGTTATTGCTTATTGACTGGTGTCAATAACCTTTAACACAATTAGTTTTTCTATATACCTATACTGTTATAATAATATTACCATATTTATACTAGCTGTAATAATGTGATTATGTAGGTATCTACTGTTTTTTTAATAATCTCAAAATGAGTTTTGTAATATTTTATATACTCTCTCTATTTTTCTCTGTTGTCGGCTAGTTATCTCTTTAACTCGTTGTAACTTGATAGTACTGCATTAGAAATCTTTGTTTAATAAACTATATGTTATTAGTCTCTTTTTCATCTTCTCTTCTATTATCCTATAAATTAGATAATAAATGTCTATGTTTTTGTGCCAGTTCAATCATATTCCGTTGTCTTACTATAATTATTCTAAATATCTCTCTGCACTCATTATTTCTTTAAGTATACTACAATCTGTTATATCCAATCCATACATAATATGTTTCAGCCTTCTGTAGCTCTTTATATCTCAAAAATTTTTAGAAGATGAATATGTATTACTGTTGAATTTGTGAAATGTTGACGATTCACACTGTTCGTTTCAACCAGACCGAAAAATCAAACAAAAACCATGAATACAATTTGTTTTCGGATTTTTTGCAAAATGTAACATTTTTGTACTAGAAGAATTTCTTACGACTTCTACACCCATGTATATACAATATACATATATTATAACTTATGGGTATTTTGGTATCAACAGCGTGTTTCTTTTGTGTATCTATAGAGATACAAATATGTAACACATCTAAAAAAAAACTTTTTTTTAATTCTTATAACAATGTATAATTAATTTAATAATTCATTAACTAATAAACTTAAAGTCTATGTTAAAAAAAAAAAAATTAACTTTACTTAAGATAACATCTTTAAAAATATTATATTTTAATAAATGAACCTTCTTAATTTATATGAATATCATACGACGATGAAGTGTATGTTTATAGACTTTTAACCTTCATAAATATTTATACAATGGAATTTATAAAATTTAAATTAAATATAGATTTTGTTTTAAAATAGGTACATGATTACATGGTAAATATACTTTAAGTCTTTAAGGTTAGATCCGAATTTAGTATATAAACAAATATTAATTATTGCTCATAGATAACACGTCCTTGAGTTTTCAAATAATATATGCCATAAATACTGTTTTAAATTGTATTATCATATTATAGTTTATAGATAAAAAAATATAACTATGTAAACTAGCTATTAATTAAATATTATTTTTTAAACATTAAAACTATATACTCAATCATATGAATTAAATATAATGAAAAATTTAAAATGAATAAAAAAAATACTACAATGTTGCTTAAATTAGGCAATTTAACATTTTTGTCTCATTAATATTTAAATATATTGCTTATACTATAATTCAAAATACATTCCAATAAAATACATGTATTAACATTAGCTTGTGGGCGTATTTCTACTATTTCTATTTTCTTTATTCCAGCGGTTCCCAAACTGTGCTCCGCGGAGCCCTTGGGGCTCCGCAATGGTTTCCCAAGGGTTCCGTTAATTATTGTCCGTATGTATACAGTTCGTGTTAATTATGCTTCATAGAACACAGGCAAATGCAAATGAACGTTAAATATTTCTTAGGGCTCCACGAGAAACTTCTCCTTAAAAAAAGGCTCCGAGGCTGAAAAAGTTTGAGAACCGCTGCTTTATTCAATGCTATATATTAAATTTTATCTAAATTTAAAGAAAAAATTTGATTTAAAATAATTGTTATAAAAATCAATTTTAACCATTGTATTAATTAAACATGTTTTAAATCAGTTAACCATGTACGTTTACAAATTTTAAATTATTGAAAATATATATTCATTGTTTATAATCATGATAGTTATTTTTTACAATAAGCTGATAAGATATTTTACGTTATCAAAAATAAAATAGAGTATTTTCATTAAAAACGAGATTAAACAAAATGAAACATAATATATTGAAATACCTATGCCATTACACATATTACGTTTTAAATTATAATTTATAATTATTGTAAACAATTTTATTTACGCATTCTTAATAATAAATATTAGTATATTATACTTCAATAACAATACGACAATACAAAGCTAATAATAAAATAACTGATAAAATATTTTATATGAAAAAAAGTTTTAAAAAAATGTTAAACTAGTCACCACAGTTTTTATTCTTATTAGCATATTAAACTTTAATACAGTACACTATCGCCTTATGCGTATAGGTACCCAAAGTACATAATACATAGTATTTAATTATAATTCATTATTATAAATCAAATATGAAAACGATTTAGATTTCTAATAAGATTTCAATCAACCTGAGAAAATGATGAAGAGTTAAAAACCAATGGGTCTATTACATTTCTTTACGGTTTTTATTTGCTTTTTTGAAATATACAATTTGAACAATGATTTTCATTACATATACAGTAAACTCTGTGGTCAATTTTCTAATCTACAAGTTGAATAATTTTACATGAAATCTTATGAACTTATTCATTAAAAACACTGTTCAAAATCGAACAAATTTGACAAAAAAATCATGTTTCTTCAATTTCAAGAAAATAATAATTTTAACACGAATTAAATATACAAAAAATGACGGTCACAAACTAGGTACTCGGTATAGGAATAAACACATTTTACAATATAATATTAATTCAATTATAAAAAATCTTAATAATTTAAACCT